TCATTAGTACGGGGTTCTAAGGGCACCGAGGTCGTGGAGTTTATACAAGAATTCATTCGCCTGAAATGGCAAAATCGACGAATGACATAAGCAATATTGAGTTCAGAATATGATTCAAGCATTACCGAAATAGATGTGACATCAACTGTTTATTTCCCAAGCATCCACAAGATCAACAAGACAATAGTTAATTATTCAACAAGAAGACCTATATACAATATAAGGGGCTCATTCCGTTGGGTTTCGCTTGCAACAACATTTATTGTATTTTGCTCTACAAATTTCAAGACAAGCCTAAGAAAATTTTTAGTAGCAGCACCAACAAAACTCAAAGGATTCATATTATCTCTCTCTATACCAATGAATCTTTGCAACATTAATACCCCATCTATATCAAATTTATCAACACAAGGTCAAGGTCCAAAACATGAATTTCAGGACTACCTTTTATCACGAGTTCAAGATCCAATCGGAGGGGTTAAACAAATAGCAATATCAATGTGGGTATCATCAACAACAACACATTTGTTCCTTTCTTTTCAACAGAGCAAAGTGTCATTTTGTCGACATTTAAACCAAGCTTCTCAGTAAAGTTTCAAATTCCGAAATTACAATATTCAAATATTTAATATTGTGATTTTAGCAACGTCAGATTTTGAATCAACAAAAATGCTTCAAGACTTGCCTCTATTTCAAGAAAAAAAGTCGACAGCCACAGACCTACAAGCAGCAAAGGAAAATAGAGCTAATCAATAAAGGGTTTGAATCAGCACAAACTAAAATTAGCAATAGAGAGCTGGGTAAAAAAAAAAAAAACAGTAAGCTTTGGTACGGTCTAAGGTCGGCGTGGATGGCCCACGACCAAGTTGAAATCGGTAAAATAATGCAAGCCAGGAAGCGCACGAAGGTGAGAGCCGAATCGTAGTGCAGCAGCGGGTGGAGCAGATCAGCAACGCAGTGTACTGACTGCCGTGAGCGAGTGCGCGCCTCCAAGTTGTCACGCTGTCAACAAGCTGAATGGTGACCACACATTGCGTTGAGTGGGGTGATATGTGTGGCCAGCGTTGGACCGTCGAGGCTAGAAGCAAACCAACAGGGAGAAACCAGCGGTAGGTTGGGTCCGTGACGCCGACGGCACGGGCGCCTGGAGTTGCAGTAGCGGGCTGCGAGCAAGCGGCTGCGAAGCTTCGTTAAAGAAGATGCAATCTGAGTTCTATCAGCTTAGACATAGAGTGTGCCGAAATGGATCCTTGGATTTTGATCTCCTGTAAACAAAAAAAAAAAGAAGTTTCATCGTGGTCCCCGTTTTCTGGATTTAGAGAAGCGGCGGCAGTGGTCTTCAAATGGAGTGCAAAGCAAAACTGGGTTGGCCTCTGTGGAGAAAAAGTCGAAATGGCAGTGTATCATGTCGTGTTATTTCATAATTACTTCAATATTAGCTTAATTCATTTATTTTCATATTGTCGTATGGTGTTATTTTGATCACCAAGGATCCTTTAGAGTTTTTTTTTCTTAAAGTTTTCTAAAGTGGTGTGTTGTATGGGTGAGATTTAATGCTAAAAAATTGATGTAACTTGTCATTAAATCTCAACCATATAACACACCACTCTAGGAAACTTTAGGAAGAAAAAAACTCTAGAGGATCCTTGCTCGATTCGGTGACCCAAGGCTATGGCTATATATATATATATAAAATGGGCCTCCGAATATTCTCAAGAATATGTGGTTTTGAAACTTTACAAGTTGTTGAAGGAAAGTAAAGTCAAAGTTTGACTATAAAATAAAAAAAAGTATAGGCCTATATCTTTTTAAGAAAAAAAATGATGATGATACTGGGTTCTTGAGATCGACTCGATCGCAGGAGCAGGGGCATATCGGCTCAAAGACATGTCAGGAAGGAGTCTGCCACGTCCTTGGAATTCCACGCATTTACGCAAATTTTGAAAGGGTATTAGGCAAGCCTAGAGATCCGAGGCACTCGGACTCGAAAGGATTCGGATCCACGAATCTAGAGATCCGAAGTACTTGGCTTCGAACGGATTCAGACGCAATCTAGAAGTCGCTCCGTTAATGAGTCCCAGAACACTTGCGGGCTCGGAGCTTTCCGGGATCTACGTACCAGAACTATGGGCGTAATGGAGTCCGAACAAAGGACCTGATCCTGAGGACGGTGAGTGGAGATAAATTCACTCTTCGGTTAAACTAGCCTATACCCGGGTCGAGGTGGCACGACCTCGGGGGGTCCATGAGACTCGGCAATATTTTGCGGCAGGACGTCCTCTGGGACTTCCCCTGACCCTTTGGGATGATTGGGGATCATTGGTTAGGTGTGGCTAAGAAGAGGGGTTCGCCGAGGGATTGATCTCCTCTTCGGGGTTTTCTCATCCTCGGAGAGGTCACCTCCTCGGACAAGGTGGTTAGAGAGAATATCCCCCATGTGCCTTGCACATGGGCTCCATCCTACATCATGAGGTGCCTATAAATAGCACCCACCCATAGCTTTACAAGGGATGGATTTTGGAGATTCTTAACTCTTGGGAAAGAACTAATTTCCCTTCTCCATTATCAATCTTGAGAGTGAAAGTGGGAGATCCATGGGAGAGCCTTGCCATTATTCTCTCTCTAACTACTTTGCCTTCTTCTTCACCCAATCTCTTATCTCCATCATCTCCTTTACTTTTATGTTCTTAAGTTGAGACTATTGAAGAATCTAAACCTCTCATCATCTTCTAGAGAATTCGAAGTTGTTCTTCAAGGATCTTCGAAGATCTTCGAATTTTCCAACGACGTTCTTGAACCCTCTCATACAGCATGTTTTTGCCTAATCGGTCCATTCTAATGGACTTGATTGCAACTAATTATTTCTCACTATTTATTTTGATTTTCAGTCGATAGGATATTGCAATGGGAAGTGGAAGAAGAAAATACTAAAAGTTAAGAGTTAGAATTCACGGTACTTAATTTTATTTTATTACTGGATTTGTTTTGTATAGGTTGTATTTAAGCTGAGTTGGAGTTCACTATACTATTCACAACTGCTGGCTTGTATTAAATAATATTTATTTTATGTTTGCGTTATATTTAAATCTTAAAATCTCGTTTATTTCAATTATTTATTATTACTTGATTTTGTTTTGGATTGGATTGATTTGGTTCAAGTGCATGATTCATTTAAGTTGGTTCTAAATGTAATGTCAACTTAAACCAAACTGACCCAATCACACCCCTATATTGGTTTATATCCATAGAGATTTTTTTAATACAAGGCATGAGCAATAAAAGTTGGAAATTTTTATAATAGACCAACCCTTGTAATAAGATTTTTTTCATAAGAAACAAACAAGCCTATAAGTTTTACTGTGAGAAAGACAACACGTGCAACCCACACAATCCAATTACTGAAATAGCTAATTTCATTTTTTTAACTTTAAAATACTATAACTCTTAATTTAAATTTTCTTTTCTTTTAAATAATATTTTTTGGACTACGCTTGTCGAATCCATTTAATAAGAGTTTGTATTGAGTATGAAGTTTTGAAGAAAATCACAAAATTTCACTATGTTATTTATTTTTGAACAATGAAATTTTTATTATCTATGTTAAAATTAAAAGCTAAAAAACCAAAATTAAATGCTACAAAATGAAAAAAAACATATTTCATATTGTCTGTAGATTGCAAAGAAATTTCATTGTCTACTGACATCAAGTAGAAAATTTTAAATTAGAGGGATAAAATGTAAAATTAGAATTGGTTGCTAAACAGATTGTGATAAAAAGAGGCTTCACGCTTAATGAGAAGCTTTTGTTATGTATAGGGTTTCTCTCTTTTTTATTTTATTTCCTCCTATGCTCATTAATTTGTTTTTTACCAGCAATAAATTCAAGTGATGGATTAAAAAATATATATAGATATATTGGATGGCCATGAAGGATAGGACTTGATTTAATAAAAAAAGCTAAAATAAGATAAATTCACTTTCTTTCATCTTTATTAACATTCTTCATAAATGTTACTCTTCAACTTTTTACCAAAGATAAATCATAGTTTCATAAAGTGCAAATAAATGTCACTCCTCAACTTTTTATCCATTGTTATCAAAACAACCTCTAGATAAAAATCTAATATCCACGTTATAATATACATGCGTATATTTATATACAAAGAGTATCACTAAGAATTAAACAGCAATTTTTATATTTTTTGGATTATCGATCAATGCACATGCATTGCATGTGCCATATGACCTTTCTGACAGATAAATCAGCACATAATTGAAATTAGTAAATCAAAATTTCAAATGTAAAAATGATTTGTTATGCATGGGCATTATGGTTAAAGGTCCTTATTTCAAATCATGAAAAGTGCATACTTATATTTTAAAGTTGTGTTTGAATCATAAATTTGAGTAGCAATTTAAAAAATAATAATAATAAAACTAGGTAAAATCTACATAAAATATAGTTACATTTTACTTACTTTCACCCACCTTTATCTTTTAACAAGACTCAATGGAGACACCCATGTCCAACCCTTCCTACTTAGAAACCTTTGGCGGCTAGATAATATCTTGCCAAATCTCAAGGAGGCACATGAAATTAACCTTAAGACTCCACTTATACAACTTAGTGATACAAGCACATGTGCGCTTCCTTTTCCAGATAAGAAAGGTAATGCAGCTCTTGAAGGTAACACAATGGTAGGTAAATCAAAAATTATCCCAAAGTTATGATTTAGTCACACATTGAGACTAAAACAAACAAACTATCAATTCAAATAGGTTCCCAAAATTCATGGTATAATTTCTAAATGATCTATGTATATATGTTGGGCAGCCATTTGCTAGTTACTTGATACACCTATGACCAAAAATCAGTATAATCACAATGGAGATAAAACTTTGATCTTTAGTTCAAGAACCCCATGTGCTTAATTTGCTTAATGTCAAACCTCGACTCCTTTGAACATCTATTACTCGGAGTCAAAATTTGATAGTGGCATCTGGTAAGCATCTTTTGGTTCTGTGTCAGTGATGGAAGGAGGATGATCTTGATTTGACACTGCTCTCTTCGAGCGTCTCCGATTTGGTCTATCTTCGTCATCCTGGAAATTTTCATACGGTGATTGAGCAAAAATATAGAAAGTAGAGGAAAATAAAAATGCATTAAAAAAAAAGAGCACAAAATACTTATGCAAGTCCCACTGCAGTTAATTCTTTTTAAGATCACTGATGTTTATGTTTGTTAGTTGTAATTATGTGTTAAAATATGAATTAATATTGGAGATTGATGTCAGCTGTAAATTGTTTTTGCTAAGTATAAATAAAAAGTTGACAATAAGTTTTGAGTTATTTTTTCTTTTATTTCTTTGAGATTTGTATGTTTGAGAGGTTCTATCTCAGTTGGGTGTGAGTTTCTTCCTCAATGGAAGCGAGTTTCTTACAGGTTTCTTCCTTGGGAGCTGAGAATCGTGTTTCTGAGCAAGAAACATCAACCGAGAAGGAATTTTTTGCTACTAAGAGTGAAAAGCTAGATAACTTAAGCTAAAAATGCCAATTTCACCTTTGATGAGGGCAAACTTCCATCTCTACAATGAAATATTTTGATGCCTTAAGGAGAAAAGTACTTATAGCATATTTAATTTTTAATTTTTTTCACTATTTTAATACAAAATTTAAAATTCAAAATTCATATGCCTCAATGTCTTGAGGCTTATGCCTCCCCTCACAAGAGGTAAAATGCCTCGCGTTACACATTTGCCTTTAAAAACTTTGATTAATAGTTGTAAGAGGTGCCAAAACGAGAAATGTCGGCAGTGGCATTAAAAATTATTTGAGTTTCGAGGTTGGGAACTATAGCACACATGACATCACCAGCCTCTAGGTAGTTCAACACAAAGTGAGACAAAATTTCCTTTTCCAAAGGAGCCACAGAATCTTTTTAAAGATTCCATACAAAAAAAAAAATGGTGGGGGAGAAATGTGAAAGAAAATTGTCAGAGAATATCAATTAAGGAACACAATCATACAAGAATGATTTGTGGTGAGGGAAACAATTTCAACTAGCAAGCAATAGATTCCCAATGAAGGAACAATCATACAAGAATGATTCTTGGTGAGGGAAACAATTTCAACTAGAAAGCAATAGATTCCCAACGAAGGAACAATCATACAAGAATGATTCGTGGTGAGGGAGACAGAAAAATCCTTCTTTAGGTTTTTTTTCCCGTCTTTTTTAATGTTTGGGGTGGGCCGTTCAATGAGAATAACGAGTCACTAGAAATTGCAAAGCTGGAAAATGTGAATTGTTCAATGAGATGATTCAGAGATATGCACAAAGCTATCACTCAGTACAATAATCTGTTAGGGGCAGTAATAAAGTGCTAATGAATAGGCAATAACCTGACTGTCAAGCAAAAAAAAAAAAATAAAAACAAAAAGGGTTGCTTCCCACAAGGTATATGTGACTGCATTTGAACTAAATAAAGGGAAACTTTGAAGAACATGTTGAGATTTATGCCACATCCCACCAATGTGAATGGAAGCACACAATGCACACACCAAAGAGAAAAACAATCAAACAGATTTATGTGGTTGGCACCAATTGCCAACATCCACGGGAGAGAGATTTCACTATGAATAAAAATAAATAATACATGTGAGATGGTCAACACACTCAAAACCCACATCACTACCCGAATCCCAAGCTCCAGAGTAGTTGAGCCTTTGTAAACCCCAGTGCCTTCACGGTAGCTTTTGTCACCCCTTACATCTCTATTTTATCCTCCTCTTAATCTCACCAAAACCTATAGTCTCCATGACTATTTATAATAGTCTACTCACAAAAAACTTAGTTCCATACAATTAGGAAACCAAAACCTACACATTGAGTTCCCCAATAGATTCCGGACTCTACTATCCTAATCCAAATACATGTTTAAACTAACCTAACAACTATATGGGACCCACATATATCACAGAGGTGGACTAATTCTAACAGAATATTAATAGAAGTTACTAAATTAATCAAGTAAAATGATATGCAGCCAAGACATCACATATATAAAAATAAAGACAATGATAACAATTATATATATATACTAGCGGCCCACACAAGCAACTCGAAAAAAAAATAACATTATAAGAACAATGACAAAGAAAAATGCACATATATTGTTTGTTGCTCAATGAAATCACATTGGAGATAAAGATAATAATAGATGGAAAACAAACAACAACAATGCTCCCAGGAGCGCAATAAGCCATCACTTACTTTTTTGCTCGGTTGAGTTTGATTATTTGATCAACTTGGATGAGTTGATTGGCTCCTTCACAGCCAGATGCTACCAAAAGACGTCAATGCTCCTAAGAGCAAGACTGGGCCAATCCTTGGATCTCCCAGGCGATTGTGGATTCCATTCATGATGCTGCCAATTCTCTGTTTCATTCCTGTCCTTTCGGATAGAATGGTTTTGGAACCTACTGACCAAATAGGATCTGCATCTTCAGGAACTAGTGCAGGAGTTTTTGCTCTCTGCAATGAGATAAACAGAAAAGGTTTGAGCAGACAACATCTTGTATGAAAGAGAACTCTAAGCTCCAGAGTGTATACATCCTTAAAAACCCACAAAGTTCAATGAATATCAATCTAAGAAGCACGGACACTTCTAAGAAGGTAACGTGCCATGTCTGTCACTAACATGGCACAACACTCACTGGACACTTTCCAACACTTAAACACACATGAAACATATTACAAGTTTGAATAAAATAACTTGGAATCCAATGATAAAACAAAAATTAAGTAAATTTATACCTATTCTCCTCCGTCATACTTCAAAAATGAATATTTTACTTAAATATTCATATATATGACATAATAATTATTTAGCCTTATATATGACACGTAAATTGTAACAAATAAAAGTACAGGCCAGTATGCTAGTTAGATCAACCAATCTTTCTAGCCAACAACACCTTAGCCTGAAGCAAAATTGACAAAAAAGACAAAGAGGAACAATTGATTCTTCTCTGACCTATTTAATAAGGAACCAAAAAAATTGATGCCTACCAGAAAAAAGGAAAAAAAAAAAGTAGAAAAAGGAAAAGAAAATTTCAGAAAAGAAATGCAGATTAAATATGAAAAGCAATGTTGTCAGAATCGTTATGAAAAATATATGTATTGCAGATTCATATGTTGGTAGATTGAATTGTGAAATATGTTTTGTATTGTATCAATTTCATATTGTATCACAATTCAGCATGTATTTTGTGATTAGATATCAATACCTTCTCTTTGACCTTTTGCCCTATTAACAGCATTTTGCAATGTCAATTGCCATTGCCCGCACTCATTGAACAAACCCAAATCCAAATAAACCCGCAAGCAAAAATGATTCCCATACTTCCTTCGCCACAAAAAATTGAACAACTATCATGGATCTAATTCAGATGAAAGAAACAAAGAGCTTACACATAGTCCATTTGGATTTCGGTTGAGACCCAAGATTATGACCATATACCTCATAACAAGTATGTTTAAGCTACTCATCCAAACAAGTCCTAAAGCATGTCATTGATTGCAAACCGGGAACCAAATGAACTAGCGATCAAGAAGTTGGGCCCAATCGAAAAACAAATACCTTTTGTGTTATTTTTTTATTTGCACTGAAATCTCATTAATCCTTCTGTTATATTAAATTTTGAATTTTCTTTCCAATTTCTTATGAGTTGAATATTTGGGTTTCTAATGAATGCATATTTACCTTTTTGTCCAATTTGTAAGTTTTTAAAGATAATTTTTCACGTCATTGGTTATATGCTTTAGTACTTCATTTTTTCAATATGTTTATGTATCATGTGAAAGTACTTTTTATTTATTCATCTATAGTCATATATGTCAATGTATTTTATTATACATGATATGACATGAGACATGAGACATGATACACAATGCACAAAAGTGATATAACAATACATGACATGTATTCAACAACACTGATGACAAGAAATTTCTTCACTTGATTTTCATCTAAAAAATTGTGCTGTAATTTAATAGTCAAAAGCAAAATAGAGGAAACAAATATGCTTGGCGATCGATTGCATAATCTTCACATAAAAATTTAAGGACATGCCAACAAAAGCATGCAATGATACGGAAAATTTGTGAGCCTAATTGAGATTACAAATAGGAGCATGAAATGCAAATTTTAAAAGTTTGCACAAGATTTTTCAAAGGATTTGAAATATGAATAATCAGACCCTAACAGCTTTAAAACTGTGCAGCATGGACTCGGGTAGATATATCGGATCTAATTGTCAAGCCTCTTCCAAAAACCCAGATCTTATGATGGGACTTGGCACAAAATATGTACAAGGGCTGGGTAAAGCTACAGGGAAACATCCTACACAGTCAAATGCCTTATATTTCATATAATACTAAAATGAAAATTGTTATCCCCTTTAAGGATATAATTGAACATAGTGAAATTTAAATAGGATATCGTTGAAAGAAAAAATTTGTATAAGTCTTTCCATGTGAGACAAGAAAAAAAATTTCACTATCAAATTTGAGCTTGTCATTCTTCTTCCATCGTAACATAAGTAGGATGTTATTTGTTCACAGATAACACTTTATTATTGTCATGGGTAACATGACCACAGACGTTTTCTACCCCCTTCTACTGCAATAAATAAAGAAATTTGATAACTACACTTATCCAAGATGTAACAGCCTTCCAGAAAAATTGAAATTCACATAGGACCAAGGTTTTAAACAACAGCGGCGGTTACCATAACAGTAGCAGTAATGCGGACGCGGTTGCGGTGTGTAACGGTTGTAGCGTAATGGTGGCGGCAACTGAAACCGTGAATTTTTTTAATTATTCGCACAACTTTAGGAAAACATACCAATATGCATGTTTTTATTTCAGAATCACATTTAGTGAGGCTCAAAATGATTTTTAGTATTCTTCTTTAGTTTTAAAACATGATCCAATATAGCTACTAATTTTTATATTAGTTTTAAGTTGCTATGGAGAATTATCCTATTGTTGAATTTATTTTTCTTTACTTTACTAATTATAATTATGGATAATTTTTTGATTTGTTAGGAAAAAAAAATGAATATTAAAAACAATAGTCTCATAAATAGAAGTTCAAAATACAAAATGTCAACATAATAATGTAAAAGTATATAACATGAAATTAAATTAAGTTCATATTCAATTATAATTAAGTAAAAAAGTAATGAAATCTTGTAGAACTTGAAGATTGGACATTCAAAACATGTATAGATAACATTTTTTCTTAAGTTCTATGTAACTAGAAAATAAAAAGAGAAAATAGCAATATATACAAAATTTAAATTAAAATATATATATAGATGTGTAAAAGTTGTAACGGCTGTAACGGTGTTGTAGCGGCAATGTAACGGCCGCTACGGCCTTTACGTAACGGTGGCGGCCATTACGGTCATGAATTTTTATCACACCGCTGTAGCAACCGTAACGGGTAGCGATAACCGCCACAATCGTTACATAACGACGTTAGTAACAGTTGTGGCCGCTTTTTAAAATCTTGAATATGACACTATGAAATTTATGTACCATAAATCATTTTGGGAAGCGAATTTTAAACATTTGATAAAATATGAGCAAATCCTAATTTTTATACAATATATATATAATAAAAGACCTCAATTTCTTCAAAATCATAACTAACAAAAAATATCACACAATCAAGGTAAAACAAATATACATGACAGACCCAATGCAATGGATCACAATATGCAGAATTTCAGTTCCACTAATCTTCGCCATCAATGCCCAACTTGCTAATGGCCATAACGGTGGGTGCGCACACACTTCGTTGGCCAAAAAAACCACAACTACCACAAACATTGCCGATGCCTCCACCACCAGCAAAATCAAACCCCTATCATCCATCATTCATCAGATACCATACACAACGCAAAGCCTAGCTTGATAAAAGATATGCTCTGAGAAGGATTATTGACCAAAAATAAGAAAAAGGCTTGGCGATGAAAAAACTTTTCAACAAGGGTATTGTTATAGTAGTTGTAAACTAATCAAAATGCCACTGATGCAAGACAAGGTTTGTTGATGTTACAAATCAACACCATTTCCATCTAAATCTACTCCAGATAAGCAACATGAATTAGCCACCAGGTCCACCAATAAAGCATGGCCATATATTTTATATTCTTTTGCCTATTTTCTCCATTGATTCCAATATAACAATCATTCAGCCATTGATTCAAATATAACAATCATTCAGCTATTGTTGGACAATATGCAGGTTGAATGGGTTTAAGAGCTTACAGATGGGCCTAAAAGTTAGAGATTGCAAAGTTCAGCTCACCAGAGATGTTGAAGTTGATTCGAGATTTAGAATGTGTGCCCATTGCGTGCATTGTTGATTGGTAGTTTAGATCAAAGGTGGAGGGCTTGGCAGTCATTATGGCTCATATTATTGTGGATCTATCAGAAAGAGAGATAGAAGACAGAGGGAAAGAGGCTAGAGAAATATGGGTCTTGGACCTGGTGGTGGAAATGAGTCGTCAAAGACGATTTTGTCCAAGTTTCATTTGAAGGGGTGGGCAATGCAAGAGAGGGTTGTGATGGTTATGTTGAGAAAAGAAAGGTTTTGAGTGATAAATTGGCAAAAATAACAAGGGCATTAATTTATTAGGATTAAAAAATAAATTGACATCATCTGTTAATAACGTTTCCAACAAAGTGTGACAAGGGTGGTCAATGTAATTTTTTATATGATAGGGTCAATGAGAGTATTATAGCCAAACCTTAGGAGTGGTCAATGTAATTTTAGCCATAAAAAAACTCTTTTACCTTTCCTTTTTAAGTGAAAAGGACATGGTCAAATTGTTACCCATCTTGCCCAAACCAATAACAGTTTAATAGAGAGCGTAAGTGAGACAAAAACAAGGGTTTAGAAAAGGAAAAAAAAATAGCGGAGTCCCCTACCAATGAAAGAGCGAACTTAGTCATGATTATGCAAATAATAAATTCAAGAGAATATTGCATGATATTGGTGTAAGTTTAGAGAAGAGAAAGAGATAGGGAATGAGTGAGACCTCATCCCCTTTTATATTGATAATAATACGTAATTACAGGAGTGCCATTAGGCATAAATTATGGGCCAGCCCATTACATCAATCAAGGGAAAATAAAATCAAATAAGAATAAAATACGGAAAATATTATTTCATATTCTAACACTCCCCCTCAAGCTAGTGCGAAGATAACTCTCATGCCTAGCTTGTTGAGAATGCCATGAAATAGTTTGCTCCCTATTCCTTTGGTGAGAACATCTGCTAGTTGGTCCCCAGTCTTCACAAATGGAGTACATATGGTGCCGGTAGTGAGCTTTTCCTTGATGAAGTGCCTATCAATCTCCACATGCTTGGTTCTGTCATGTTGAACTGAATTATGAGCTATATTGATTGCCGCCTTTTTGTCACAATACAATCTCATGGAATTAGTTTGACGGATCCCCAAGTCTCCCAACAATAGTCTAATCCATAGCAACTCACATACACCCTGATTCACGACCTTGAATTCTGCCTCAGCACTAAATCTAGCAACCACATTATGTTTCTTACTTCTCCATGTGACTAGGTTGCCTCCAATAAATGTGCAATATCCAGAAGTTGATCATCTATCAATGACTGATCCAACCTAATCCGCATCAATAAATGCCTCCACACTGAGATGTCCATGTTTTGAGAAATAGAGACCCTTTCCAAGAGAAGACTTCAAGTACCTCAAGATTCTCATAACCGCCTCTAAGTGGGAATGTCTAGGAGCATGCATAAACTGGCTAATCATGCTCACTACAAAGGCAATGTTTGGACGTGAGTGGGATAAGTATATGAGCTTACCCACTAGGCTCTGGTATCTCCCCCTGTCCATTGGATCTTCCCCTTGATCCTCACTTAGTTTCTAGCCTGGTTCTAGAGGTATATCACATGGTCTACTTCCAAGCATTCTAGTTTCCTTTAGCAAGTCAAGTACATACTTCCTCTGGCATATGAAGATGCCATCCTTGGACTGAGCTACTTTGATGCCCAAAAAATACATCAAATTACCCAAGTCTTTGATTTCAAACTCCTTGACTAACTATTCCTTCAACCAAGGGATCTCTTCACCATCATCCCTTGTCAGAACAATATCATCAACATAAATAATAAGAGCTATGGTCTTACCGTGTGAGGAATGTTTCACAAATAAGGTGTGATCAGCTTCACTTTGCTTGAATCCATATCTCAGCATAGCTTGAGCAAACCTTTCAAACCAAACCCTAGGGGACTGCTTTAACCCATAAAGTGACTTTTGGAGCC